AAATGTAATTAAGGTCCTAACTGTAGTACAATTCGGCCCTAAATGGGATAAAGGTCCTACGTGTAATAACGTTTGGTCCTAAATGTATGTAGTAAGGTTACCGACTGCCATATTGGTGTTTAGGCAGTCTAAAAGTTGTACGTAACCAGGAGCATATCACTCCTGAAGTGACGAATTATTTGCTGTAATTACATACAGCGACTAGCAGAGCAGAGGCACAAGCTTAGTGGCTGCGGAACGAAATGAAAAATAAGGAGCAGGAGGGAAATAGAGAACACAGGATTTGAAAAAATATGCTCGAGACGGTACAGCCAAAGCGGATCGCCAAGTATCCGAAAATGCTCGAGAGGTAATAGGGGCTGCCAATCGGTGTTAATATTTCTTTTCAAAACCTGTTGATGTGTTTGCTTTGAAGGCAAAGTACTAATCGAACCACCCTTCCAGACGGGCTATCTTTTTTGGCATGTACGTAAACAGTTATAACATGAGGGTCTCTATATATGGGGTAAACCATTAGCCGCAAAACGGCCAAAAATTAAGCTATTAGGCGTAGAAACTGGAAAAAACTAACCGTTAATCGTAAAAAATGTCAGCTATAAAGTATACATGCCATGAAATCTGGATGGTTTTCCCACGCTACGTCACGCTTCGATGACGCTTTCTAAACTCTTGTGGAAGGGCTGTGAATTTTGCATTCAAAGGTGGGCTTTGTTGTAGCCGGGTAACTAGGTTAACCAGGAAGCCTCTTTACATGTTAACAAGCTCTAAGAAAGAGTAGCTTCAAAAAAGAACCGAGGAGGCGGGGATGATGGACGTTCACCAGAACTTACTCAATCATTCATGTATTAAAAGATATTCGTCCAAATTTATACCTTCTATTTATACCTTCTATTGGTAACTAGAAGTCTGTTGATGTTGACTCCTGTAAAATAAGACATGCGATAAAGATAAAGTGAAATTGTGACTCACTTCTGTGGCATCGGAATATTAAAGAACATTAATTGCAATCGCCATTAACTTAAAACATTTTTGCCTTTCTTCCTTTGTCTAATTAAAGCAAAAGGCCAAACATTTAAGTATTGTCTACTTACCACAGTCTGTGATTTCAGGTATATGTGAGGTTTTCATGCTCGAAACTTTTAAATTTTGGGCCAAAATGTATTACATTAATGACCAAAGTTATTACACTTAGAACTTTTATTACATTTAGGACCTTTATCACATTTAGGGCCAAATTTTATTACATTCAGGACCTTTTTTATGTACATTTAGGAATATTTATTACATTTGAGACCCCAACATTCAAGATGGCGGCTAGTACCGTGACGAGACGACGAGATGACGAGTTGAGACGACGAGACGACAAGTTGAAGTGACGCAGTGACGAGTTGAGACGAGGGGACGACGAGTTGAAAAGACGACACGACGAGACGACAGGCTGAGGCGAGGAGATGACGAGTTAACACGACGAGTTGAGAGGACGACACAACGGGACGACGAGTTGACATGACGAGAAGACGAGTTGAGATAACGATACAGCGAGTTGAGACTACGATACGGTGAGTTGGCACGACGAGATAACAAGTTGACACGACAAGACGACAAGTTGAAGTGAAGAGAAGACGAGTTGAGACGACGATACAGCGAGTTGAGGCGACGAAACGTTGAGTTGACACGACGAGATGACAAGTTGAAGTGACGAGACGACGAGATGAACATTTTGTCCACGATTTGACGTCATATATTTGTCCGTGATGATTTGCTCGACTTGAAATTCATATTCATGAGAAGTACCAAGACACGCCGTTCATGGCCGGCGTGTGCGAAGACATGACCTGTGTTCTTGTTGAAGACGAATTTTACCTGTGGAGATGAAAGAACCGAGTGTTGAAGACTTCCACAACTAAAGGAGAAAGAATCTTTGGCCAAGCTTTGCTGTTTAATGGTAAGTACCTGAGCTTTGTGCGCTAAATATTCAAATGTAAAACGTCCCAGTCGACCGTTTGCACGCGACAGAGATGAGAGTTGTTTCGTTCCGAATATCATTTTCGTACCTTCTGGAGCCATTTCTGTCTTGTTCTGTGTAATAGGACATAGCGTGGAATATTCACAAGGTTTTCATTAGGAGAGTTTGCTCTTTACATTAAAATGTGCGTCAAACTTTTCAGTGTCCGATGAATAAAGGTCCTGTGAGGACGACAGATTATCACCTCAAGTCAAGTTGTTACTGACATCAATTCATGGAAATATACTGACCTGCTCTATGAATTAAATAATTTGCCAAGTTGACTTTCCTTCCTAGTTTTGTTCAACACTATTTTAGCGCTTGTGCGACATGAAATTTTCTCGCTGTGTTAAAATTTTAATTGCTTCCCTACTATCGTTCTCTGACTTCGGGAGATTATAAGTTCACAAACTGTCATCTGTTAATCTGTCTAACATTTTTATTTGTTTATTTTGCTCAGAGGGAATACAACACCACGAGTGCAAGAACACAAACAAGGAGGATAAATCAATGGATCATAAAGCGGCGAAGAACACAACTAAAGATAAGCCGAGAATATAACGTTTAATTAAACCTAAATTTCCGATACGGCAATGGTGGTTTTGTTTTAAATTACGCGCCTTTTAGATGCATAATTATTAACTTCCGCTTTCAAAGCCATTTACACTTTTCAGGGGCACTCTTTAAAAGGAGCTTAAACTTCAAACTTCAAACTTCAAAATAGAAATTAAAGCTTACAATTGTCATTATGTCTCGTTTATCGTTTTTTAGATGTCGAACGTATATTTTGATATGCACATTGTTTAAGATTCCCAAGCTTTACATTAAAACTTGAGACAATTGTCTAGCATATAATGCCACTCGTGGATAATTGTTTTGGCTCTTTTCCAAAAAAAAAAAAAAACGTGGGAGCTGTTGTTTGAATTAGCTACTACAGTTATCGCATGTTGTTTTGAATTCTTAAACTTCACATGGAAACGGCAGACAATTTTAGAGAGTATTTTACTCGCCGATAATTGTTCAATGCAACTTCGCCAAAGTTACGAAATCAAAACCTTTCTACAGTATCACAATTGTATTGTTTAAACAAATGCAAATCAAATCTCTAGCTTCAACGGATATTTCTTGGTATTTGTTTATCATTCACTCGGTCACTCGCTCGC